TCTTCTTTCGATGCATCGAACGTATCGCAGGAGACCGCCATCAGTACATTCTCCTTAGGATCCAATACGCCACATGGTGGGTCAACCCCCAAACGACGCATATTGGTTGTCTTGATAGCCCATCCAATTCGACGACCGCCGGCGTTCGTGATCTGTTAAAGATTTACTTGAATTAGATTACGATTTTTACAAATCTCTAATGACAGTGCATGATAATCCTGTTTTTGATTACGATTACAGCCTTTACTGAAAACTGAAGATATGATTTAGAAGAAAGTTTGAGAAAGTTCAAATTAAGGATATTGAGCCATGGAACGTCGTACGAAGGGTTTTATAAAACAGCACCACAGGGCAAAATTGAGGGTACCAAAGCCGAATAATGGGACATTTATTGTGGTTTACAGAAGAATCCATAACTGTGGCTAATTTTTACTTTGATGTGGTAGGTATGTTTGTCGTCGTATGGTGCGTTGAAAACGATTTTGGAGTTGGGTTGGGTGTTGATGTCTCCAGGAGGAACGGATTGTGCCATTGCTTTTTTGTGACGACAGGTTGCGAGCGGATTAAAATTTGCGAGTGATTAATCTTGACTTTCATTACTTTTATATACGCTGTTAAAAAGTACTACTTACCCGTAGTTATGTAAAGTACCACTTACTTTGCATTTAAGTCAGAATTTGAATACTTAAGTGGATGAAATTCTGAAAATTTACCTAATCAACTGATAGTTTTTAAATTTGCATTGTATTTTCCGTATTTTGCGAATGAATTTTACAGAAAATTTCCATAAAGAATCATATTTGCATTTTTCAAATAAGAGTAATTAACTCTTCATCCGCAGTATAAAAGGAAAGGAAACTGAAAAGAAGCACATTTACTGCGAAGTAGCGCTTGGGTTCTCCAGATGGCTCAATCAGTTCCTCCGGGTGACATTCACACGCAACCAAACTCGAAGATCGTATTTAATGCCCCTTATGATGACAAGCACACCTACCATATTAAGGTATCTCTACATGGGATAGTGGATGATGACTTGAAGATGGGAATAATGGATTAGGTTGGATAGTGAGTAATGGATTAGGTTGGGTAAGGAACAATGGATTAGGTTGTTTCTCGTTAGCAATCTACAAAGAAAGTGTCAGCGGCAACAAATTTCTCAACTGAGAATTTAAAAATAATGATCGGTTTGCCAGTATTTTCACTGAATTTAAAAAATTCTCACAGATGTTTTGTCCTATATTGAAATCATTCCTAATGAGAGTCACATCCGTAACTAAGTGATATTCTGATAGTTTAGTTTACATTAAATTTGAAGAAATCGTAATTCAGTCGAAACAAATTGTTAACAGATCACGAACGCTGGTGGTCGTCGCATTGGTTGGGCTATAAAAACAACCAATATGCGTCGCTTGGGAGTTGACCCGCCATGTGGAGTGCTGGATCCAAAGGAAAATGTTTTAATGGCGGTTTCTTGTGATACGTTCAACCCAGCTACGGAGGATATCAACAACGATCGTATCACGATCGAATGGACCAATACCCCAGATGGCGCTGCCAAGCAGTTCCGCCGAGAATGGTTCCAGGGCGACGGCATGGTTCGTCGTAAGAACCTCCCGATAGAATATAATCTTTGAACTATGTTTCAAATGATTATTTTAAAATAAAATAATTTTTTTTTTGTCACGCGTCTTTACAAATTAAACTGATTCTGATCGTTTATTAAACTGATCAGTGCTTCGCATCATTACTATGATTTCCATCAGAATCAAAGTTACTGTTTGTAACAAGTCAAAAATGGAAACGCACAAAGTTTGTCCAGAAAAGTAAACTTTCCTTCTCATTTTTCTTTTGAAGCGCGGAAAAGGTTTTTACAGCAAAGTAATCTGATTCAATATTATGCCCAGAATATTAAACCAGATTACCCTGCTGTAAAAATCAGATGCGTACGCAAAACTGGATTTACTTTAGCCTATAAAATATGCCTTTGTTTAAGCAAATGCAATTATGGCATGCAATGAATTAGAAGACTGCTAATTCCAATAATCTGAGCAAAATACTTTGACGCAAATCTGAAGCTTAAAAATCCTCTTAGTTAATACTTCCGGCAGTTACTTAGTCAAGCAATTATGCCATTTATGAGTTGTTTTTCCAAGCTTTGAAATATTGTTTAATACTCTGGAAAGCTTGTCACCCTCAAGCATGCCATATTTTTTTTGACTGATAACTTGATCTACAGTTGAAGTTTGTATTGTTTAATGCTCTGGAAAACTTGTCACCCTCAAGCATGCCATATTTTTTCTGACTGATAACTTGATCTACAGTTGAAGTTTATATTGTTTAATGCTCTGGAAAGCTTGTCACCCTCAAGCATGCCATATTTTTTTTGACTGATAACTTGATCTACAGTTGAAGTTTGTGTTTCCAAGGTAAGATACTTCTAGTTTCAACTACGCATGTGTTTTCAAGATTAATGCAGTGTGACTGGGTGTAAGCATGGACAAAATGTTAATTATATGACATTTGTTAAATTTTATTCAATATTATCATTTCATTCAGTACATTAGTGCATTATTTACGGTGATATTCCTGTGCCATTTATTCATCGCTGACTTTTGTCCACTATAGACCGCTGAAATGAATAAAGGATAAGCAGTAGTAATGTATCTATAACACAGCTCAGTTTCCCAAAGCTTAAGAATGAGGCTTTGAATTAGCGAAAGTTAAGTGAAAAGTAAAGAACCATAATCTGACGCCAGCACGACATGGTAGTACATAGTCTACTATCGTAGTGCCATCGGCGCCGTAAAGTGGTATCGCTAATTCTCTCGACGATAGTCGTCTCGATCTTCGCTGTACCTGACGACGGCTTCTGCGACTACGACTACGGCTACGACTGCGACTACGACTACTACGAGGACTGCGGCTTAGCATTGAGAGGGCTCTCCGACGGCTTAAATAACTTCAATTACTCTTAGATTTAGCTGCTCGAGTGATAATGACTGCTCTTGTGTGTTGTTAACAATATCTTTCACGGCTAATAAAAGCTTTAAGCAGTACAGTTTTGCTCTACAATTCATTTCTACTTCTTATACTTTCTGTTTTTTGTTGCATACAAAATTTGTCAAGCAACTGTAATGTTGCAACGTTCGCAAGTAAAAGCTATGTCTTATCGAATGAAAGTTTCTACGAACTAATGCACCCTGATGAACGCAAGTAGCGATTTACGGATCTGCGCCTTGAAGTGGCAGCATTACGAGCTCTTGCTCGTGACCTCCGTCTTACTGGTGACGGCATTTCAACTTTTCCCTACCCACCCAAAATGTGCGTCTGTTGAAAAGGAATGTCACTGGTTTAAAGTGCATTTTATTTCTATATAAGCAGTTTCTTCATAATTGATAATTTGAATATACTTCAAGACGATAATTTGGATATGTCATTTATTCAATTACTCGGAGAGTTAACAAACTGTAAAGTGACAAATGGATGTTCGAATTTCGCAATTGTTTTTTGATAAATTTGGATAAGTGCGTTATTTTCTTTTATGCAATTCGTACTACACAATGTCTGTTTCACAAACTAATGTGCTTCATGAAAATTATAAATTTGGAAACTCATATTCAATTTGCATAACTTTAATCTGTGTATTCATTTTCAGCTCTTAAAAAAATTTGCATAGCTAAGTGCTTGGAATTATGCACATTTTTGCCAAAAATAATCGTATAAATAGCCTACTAATCAGAAAA